TAAATAATTTTAATTAATTAATTAAATTAAATTAAATTAAAATTTTAATTAATTTTTATATCATTTAATTATAGAATAATATATTTACTATATCTTTAATTTGTATTTTAAAAGACACAAGATAATAAAAATCCAATTATAAAATAGGACTATTCAATTTGGTATCATTAAAAGGTTTGTTCTTATCAATTAATTAGATTTAATTTGTGTAATAAAAGCTATAAAACACTTTTTTTTTATTAAAAATACATATCAACATGACCATTTTATTTTTAAGTGGAGTTTCTTTTCTTGTACTCTTCCTTAACGTTCACAATATCACTTCTTCTTTGAAAAAAAATAAAATTAACATCGTTGATATGATTGGTATCCATGTTGTGATATGTATTTTTATATCATTAATTCAAGTTATAAGTTAAGGTATTTAAACGCAATGAGTGATTACATAATGAGTGTTGAAAAAACTAAAAAAAAAAAATGTTTTGCCAGCATTTCTCTTTTGAATTTTATACTTCTATAAAATAAAGATTTTTAAAATTATAAAATTTAAAACTTTCAGAATATCCCTTTTTGAAAAGGTTAAATGTTGATTTCGGTCCTTCAATTTTATCGATTTGCACGTTTTTAATCCCTAAAGTATTATTATGTACTTTTTTTATCCCTCAACTTTAAAAAATGCACAATATTAATCTTCTGTTAGTTTGTACCGTTAACTTCATCCATGTGACATTTTTTATATATATTTTAATGATGTGACAAATTACTTGGCATTTTTTATATTTTTTTAATGATATAACAAATTAAATTAAATCTAAATGCTTATATGGATAAAAAATGGTGCCAAGTTAGATTTCACTAATTAATCATCATTAAATTATAATTACTTATGTTAATCAAAATTAAGATTCTAATTAATTTATAATTAAAACACAATTTTCTCATCAAATTTTCTTAACAGACATTATAATTTTCTTGACAACCAAACAAATTGAAACCATTTTCTCAGCATCCAAACACCTAAACTATATAATTTTCTAACCAAGCAAATGGAAACCCACTAAAAATTGCTTCTTTGCCCATCGGTCACTGCTTTTGTTCTTTCCATTGCCGATGATGTTTTTTCCATTTTGAACATTAAAATCATTTAGACAATAATTAGAAAATATGAAGCAAAAGGTTCCCAAAAATCCCTCACAACCTGCAATTTACATAAACTCTTCGCAACAAATATATAACCAAAAAAAAAAAGTGAAGCTAGGTTCGATGGAACCCAGTTGCTGGGTTTGAGGAACCCAGCAGATCTAGGTTCGGTGGAACCCAACGTTGGGTTTCTTTGAACCCAGATCAGCTGGGTTTGAGGGAACCCAACAACACAGAGGAAGAAGAGGAAGAAAGAAAAAGAAGAAAGAAACAAAGAAGATGGATTGAAAGAGGGGAAGGAGGTGGATCAAGAAAGGGAGCTAGGAGTATTAAGGTAAATTTGTAGTTTTTTATTTTTTATTAAAAATATAAATGTTAATCTAATTTGATGTATGAGTTAGTATTTTTATTTGGACATGTAATTAAATTATATAATGTGTTATTGCCATGTCATAAAAGAATTAAAAGAAAATGCCATGTGAAATTTTTTAACTGTTATGTCACAGAAAATTGACAGAGGGATCAATATTATGTATTTTTTAGAGTTGAGGGATAAAAAAGTGCATAAAATACTTTATGGACCAAAAATGTGCAAATTGATAAAGTTGAGGGACCAAAATGAGCATTTAACCTTTTGAATAAAAAAACAAGGTTAAATGCTAAATTTGGTCCCTCAACTTTAGTGAGTTGCACATTTTTGGTCCCTCAACAATTTTTTGCACTTTTTTGATCCCTCAACTATACGAAATGCACTCTGTTAGTCCTTCTGTTAATTTGGACCGTTAACTCTGCTTATGTGGCATTTTTTATATTTTTTTGATGATGTGGAGGGCAAAATTTAAAAAAGTGATGATGTGCACAAAAACTTTTGCCATGTCATGCTACTGTGGCCAAAACGTGCTAAATTCGTCCAAGTGGGTCCCACATCACCACTAAGAATTGCTTCTGTCCATTGATTACTGTTACTATTCTTTCCATCGACGATGTTCTTTCCATCGACGATGTTCTTTCCATTTTCAAGATTGAAATCATTTAAACAATACTTAAAAAATATGAAGAAAAAAATCTCAAAAATCACTCACAACAACCTGCAATTTGGATAATCTCTT